TCTAATTAATAAAAAATAGGGCTGCTGTATTTTATTTAATTAAAGTTAGAAAAATTTTGGTAGATGAAGCATGAAAACTGATTCTGCCCTAGTGGAGTTATTGAAAGAATTACTCACTGTTGAAAGTGTATAAAGGTTGAATTAGAATCAAAAATGAATTTATTGAAAAAGAACCTTAGGGCCGAATGCTATAGGAATTATTAAGTTTGGGAATTTGATGAATAAATTGAATGTACACTGATTGATTATACTGTAAACTAGGTACGAAAAATCCTTGAGAAGTTGGACTATATCACTGCTTGTTGGTAACTTAAATTTCGACGTACGAGGTATGTGTAGGCGGTATTACCTAATGTGACTATTGGCTAGTGTATGGAATTGTGATGTGTTGCTCACATTTGTTCTATGTATGTTATGATGATGATGAGCCAATGGTAAGAATATGAAAGGATGATATGATATATGCATGCATTTTACATCATAATACATTTTTCTGTTGGGTGCGATTGCATAACATGGCATGTATACTTGATTCATGACATCTTGAATATATATATATTTGTATTGAGGACATGTGACTGAGCATGCATCATATAGGCATGCCTGGTACCAGGAGAGGGGACACTTGGCTTCAGTCCGCATAGGTTCCACAGTGGGATTCACTTTCATGGGAGCCATTAGGAATACCCACTGCGATGCTACGCGCACGACGGTGCTATGAGCGTAAAGGAAAAAGGGCGTTATATACGCATTATGATATTTGATGAAAATGACTAAATGTTTGAAGTGACTATTTATGATTTTGTGCCTAGTTAATACTGTTGTATTTGGTTTTGTTGCCACACTACTGGGTTTATTCTCACCCCTTTGGGGCTGCAATTTTTAAATTGCAGGATGACGTAAAAGCATTTGAGGACTTGGATGTTGAACTCTGTTATATTTTTGCTGCTGTCTGGATTTATTCACTGTTGACTGTTTTAAGCTTGGGATGACTGTATTATGTGGTACTTGATGATTTTTGGATGACTGTAAAACTATGACATATTTCTGCTTTAAGTCTTTTTATGAACAGCGGCTGCTTTAAGAAATCTGAAATGTTTTGCGAATAGGGACTTTCTTAACGTTTATCAAATGCTGAATTTTTAACGATTTACGGACCACTTACGAGTTATGTTTTGAGGGGCAAATGAACTCCGATTTACTATTATTTTATATGCACGCGAAGCCCCAAGTGTCTACTTTCAGATTCTGGAAACCGTACAAAAATATTTTGAAAACTCGATTTGATATTGATTTTGTACACGAACTGTTTTTGGGAGATTTCCATCTTTGCAAACAGTAAGGTTTTTACAAAGTTCTATCAAGAAAATCTTATTAGCTTTCCACTTTCATCACTCAAGGGTATTTTAAAAGAAAAAGTTCGCTACTAAATTCCGCAACTCTAATAACGATTAGCAAACGACTCTCTTGGATGCATACAAGGGAGGGTGTTACAAAAAACGATAAGAGAAAATCCAGGGACCGAAGTAGAAGTAAGAGACCGACTCTTGAGAAAAAAAGAAAGAAGATTTCAATGATAATGAATTCTCAGAAGCCAAGTTCGAATGTAATGTAATGTTGTGACTTCGGCAAGTGCACCGGTCGTAAAAGTAATAAAAGTGTACTACGTACGAGATCGTTCCCACGAGGATTGGTTTTCAAGCACTAGTTCGCTACCAACAATTTAGTTTGAGAATCAAATTTGAGATGAAAAGATTGAAATTCAAAACAAGCAATGGCATTCAATTTCAAAATTAAAAGCAAGAAAGTAAAAGATGAATGTTTTGAAAATCAAGAAAGAGCGTAGTTAAGGTTTCGACTTCCCCCAATTTCCTCTTTATGCTATGAATTAAATAGTCAAGAATCTGCTCTTAATATAATGTCAATCAATTCTTTCTAAGTTAATTAAGGCTCAATTCCTTGTTACCCTAATTCTATGTGATCTTGAAAGAATCCTAGTTCTCTGGTTGTTCATCAAGAAAACATGCACTAAAATTAAGAATTCAAAGATTGCATAATTGTCCTATGTCTATCCGTAGATCACAAGGATTATGATGAATTTATCGAATCGGGGTTCATGCATCGACATCCCTATTGTCATACAATTCCCCTAAATCAATCTATAAGAAGCAAACTTATAGAAAGCATTAAAAACAGATAAATTCATTCAAATATAGAAAGAGAAGAATTAGGAGACAATTTAATTCATAACACAAAGACTCAATTGGGTTTCATCTTCCCCCAACTACATAAAAACTTAGCCTAGCATATTGAATTCAAAAACAATTGGAAAGAAAATAATTCCCCAAGACTCCATTGATGTGACGTTGTCTTGACTCTTCAGTGCTCCAATGCTCCACAACAGGATTCCTCCTCTTGATTATTCAAAACTTTCTCCAAAAGTTCCTTCTCTTGATTGTGCCAGCCCTCTTTTTATAAAAGAAACCATATCTTTTTATTTTCTTGTGTGATCTGGCATTAAATCTTAAGCCATATCTTTTAATTTCTCATAATATCTTCAATGGAATCTTTACTATAATCTCCAATCATATCTTTAATCAAATCTTTAAAATCTTCTCTTTTATATTTAAAGAAAACAATTTCCTTAAAAATATTCAAGAGAATCTTCAATAAGATCTTCAATCAATTATATGATTTAGAAAAACAAATCCACTTGAGCTCTCCAATATATCTTTTTATAGAGCTGAAAATTACTGCAAAATATAAGAATTTTTATTAAAATATTTCTAAGAATAAAATAACACTTTAATTATAATTCTCATAACTTTTAATTACTTTTAAATCAATTTCATGCGCATATTAGTGTTTAATACATAATAAATTGAAGACTCGTCACGTAATCAATGGAGCTCTTGGTGGGGGTGGAGACACTGTGAGTGCAGGAAGAAAATATCTCAGAGAGGTGCTTTCGGTTAGGGATTGACTGAAGTTCAAGAAAGATCCCAGCAAATCGGATGCTCCGTTATTATATTTCACCAAAAAAGATGTGGAAGGCGTATTACCAGGACATGAAGATGGCTTGGTTATTACTGAAACCCTGGTGAATTATCGGGTTAGAAAGATCTTCGTAGATGCTGGCAGGTGTGAAGATATCATCCTTTGGGATGCTTTCAAAAGAATGAGTTTAGATGATGAAGATCTTAAGTCGTGTAAAACTACCTTGATAACCTTTAACGGGGATAATACACCCGATAAGGGATATATAGACCTTAGATTGACTCTGGGAACAAAAGAGGCGTTCGAATCGGAACGACTAAGGTTCATTGTAGCCGACTTTCCCTCTCCGTACAATGTGATCTTAGAAAGGCCAAAACTCCATAAGTGGGATATGTTAGTTTCCACCAAGCATCAAAAGTCGAAGAAGGTGAGCAACAAAAATGAGGCTATCACCATTCAAGGGGATCAAAAGGAATCATGGCAATGTTATTTTGAAGCTGTCAAAGAAAATGAAAGTGAACACTTAAGCCCGCCCCGGATTCGTCCAAGAGACAAAGTTGGGAAATAGATAACCTCTCAACACTCAAGCAAACCAGTTAACATGGCTGAGTCGGACATGAGAGAAGAAACTATCATTCCATGACTTGAGCTAGATGGTGAGTTGGAAGATCTTATTCTAGGGAATGAGTCTGGTCAATTTACCAAAATCAGTAAGACTATCAACTCATAAACTAAAGCCGAGTTGATAGAATTTCTGAAGAGCAACAAGGATGTTTTCTCCTGGAAATCATCCGAAAACCCATGGATTGATCCCAAATTCTGTTGTCACAAGCTAGAAATTTATCCCAGATCAACTCTAGTTGCATAGAAGAAAAGGAAGTTGGGACCTAAAGAAGACAAGTTTTGGAGAAACATGTTAAAGAGCTTCCTGATGCCGGGTTCATACGGGAATTCCAATACACTACATTGCTTGCTAATGTAGTAATGATCAAGAAACCTAGTGAGAAATGGAGGGTCTATACGGATTACACTGATCTCAATAAGGTGTGTCCTAAAGACTCATATCCAATACCCAACATAGACCAGCTGGTAGATAACTCAGACGGGTTCCAGTTGTTATCCTTTATGGATGCTTATTCTGGCTATAATCAAATACCCATGTATCCAAAATATCAAGAGAAGACAACCTTTATTGTTGAAAAGGCAATTATTGTTATAATGTAATGCCTTTTGGGCTAAAAAATTCAGGAGCCACATATCAGAGGATGATGAACAAGGTATTTGAAAACCAACTCGGCAAGAATGTGGAAGTCTATATAGATTACATGATTGTAAAATCAATATATCTTGTAAGCCATATTCGAGATCTGAACCAGACATTTCAGAAGGTCAGAGCTCATCATATCCAGTTGAATCCGGTTAAGTGTGCATTTGGAGTCCCGGCTAGAAAGTTTTTGGGTTTTATGCTAACCCATAGGGGGATTGAAGTAAATTCAGATAAGTGCAAAGTTGTGCTAGACATGAAGGCCCCTAGAAGCAAAAAGGAAGTTCACTGACGGGGAGATTGGCCGCCTTAACCAGATTCTAGCCAAAGTTGGCTGAGAATACCCTCCCATTCTTCAAGTTATCGAATAAAGAAGTTGAACATGGATAAATCTCGGATTGTGAATCTGTGATAAAGAAAATAAAGAAATGTTTAGCAACACCACTGGTGTTGTCTAAACCGGAACCAGGAGAAATTTTAATCCTATACTTGGCTGTTGGAGAACAGGCGATAAGTGTCGTGTTCGTGTAAGAAACGAATAAAGGAAAAAAGTCGATATACTTTTTTAGTAGGGCTCTTCAGGGTCCTGAACTGAGATACCAAAAACTAGAAAAAGTAGCATTTTTGCTTACTCACCTTGGCAAGAAGACTACGGCCATATTTTAAAGGACATCAATTAATACTCATAACCAACCAAACAATACGGCAAGTGTTGCATAAGCCGGACTTGGCTGGAATGATGACTAACTGGGCAATAGAGCTCTCTGAGTATGACATAACTTACGAAACTCAGCATGCCATTAAGTGTCAAGCTTTAGCCGACTTCGTAATGGAGCTCACCCCAGTTGATGGAGGAAGAGTTGAGAATAATGACAAATGGAAGGTTTATGTTGATGGTTCATCGAACAACAAAGGAAATGAAGCTGGTATAATATTTGAAAGTCCAGATTGAGTTTCAATAGAACACTCCTTACATTTGAACTTTCCAACTTCGAATAACCAAGCAGAGTATAAAGCCCTGATAGCTGGATTGATGCAAGTCAAAGAGCATGGGGCTAAAAGAGTTAAAAAATTTAATGATTCACAGCTCGTCATTTCACAAGTTAATGGGAAATATCAAGTCAAAGGTCATCTGCTGATAAAATATTTGAATAGAGTGAAAGAAATTATGTCCGGGTTTGAGGAAGTAGTGATTACTTATAATCCTCGAGGAGAAAACAACAGAGCTGATATCCTGTCCAAATTGGCAAGCACAAAGAATTCGGGGAACCACAAAACTGTGGTTCAACAGAGCATAGTGGAGCCGAGTTGCGTGATGGTAATTCCGTCATCAGAAGATTGGAGGCAGCCAATTGTTGCTTACCTAGAAAAAAGAACACTGCCAGAAGATTCAGTGGATTCAAAGAAATTGATTCAAGATGCAACATTATATACATTGGTGGAGGATCAATTGTATAGAAAAGGGTTGCATTCCCTAATGCAAAAGTGTTGAATACGTCTTGGCAGAAATACATGAAGGAATTAATGGCCAACACATGGGAGCTAAAGCCCTGGCAAGGAAGGCTCTTCGGGCAGGGTGCACCCCGGCAACGGCGCCAAAAACTTGTTGGACGTTTAGCAAGTGCACTAGTCGTACAAGTAATAAAATGATGAGTAAAGATCGTTCCCACGAGGAATTGTGTTCAAACACTAATATACCATAGAAAACTGATTTGAATCAAATAAGAGTTTGTAAAAATCATGAATAATTTGTCACCAGAAAATTGATTTTAAGTAAATTGACACAAAGTAAATATGGATTAGGAATTAATAAAAACAACAAGTAGTCAGAAAACAACTTTCCTCCATGATAACCCATATAAAAATTGATCATATGATGAATTCATTTCCATGCGGTGTTAATCAACCTTTTACTTATCATCAAGATGTAATCCCTTACTACCCTGATAGAAACATTAATCAGAAACCTCAATCCCTTGGTGATCTCTTTCTTAATACATGCATGAAATACTAAGGTTTTAAGATTACATCAGAACTCTAGCATCAATCCCTTGAGTACTAGAATTATGATGTTGAGATTATCAAATACAGAAGTCATATAAACATCCATGTTCTATACTACTTCTTTGATAGAAATAATTAACTCAGAAAATCTCAAATCAGCACATGAAAAATACTTCATCATATTAATCAAATCAACATAATATTATCATGGAGTTCCATTGCATCCAGACTACAAAGACTCTACTCAGACATGACTAAGGAATAAATAAGAGAAGAAGAAACAAACTTCATTTCCATGTTGAAAGTCTTCAATCTCCAAACTATTACAAGGAAATCCTAATACAAAAACTAAGAGAATTTAGAGAGAAGTCAGACTAAGTTTAAGAGAGAGAGAGAGTTCAGATCCCCCAAGATCCTGATCTAAGGGTCAAGGCTTTGCCTTATATAGTGTTACAATTAAAAACAGAAAACTGATGTGGGCGCTAAAACGTCCATAAGTGGCCGTTTTAGCGTCCATGCTTTACGTATGCTCAACTGCTTTTAACTGATTTCAACGCTAAAACGTTAAGGAATGACCGTTTTAGCGTCCAAACTTGGTGAATGCTCAACTAACTTTAACTGAATCCAACGCTAAAACGTTTGATTTGGACGTTTTAGCGGTGAAGACCAGAATCTTTTTCCACTTTAGGGCGCTAAAACGCATATTGCAGGCCGTTTTAGCGCCCAAGACCAGCAATTTTCCATCTTCTTAGTGTAGCAGCGCGCTAAAACGCTCTGTGTGGACGTTTTAGCGCTCATCACCAGCAAGTTTTGGCCTCTTCCTGTAACAGGGCGCTAAAACGCTCAGTGTGGACGTTTTAGCGCTCAACACCAGCAAGTTTTGGCCTCTTCCTGTAACAGGGCGCTAAAACGCTCAACGTTTTAGCGCTCAACACTTAGGCAATTTTTCTCCTCTTGAGCTCCAGAATCTTCTTCTTTCTCCAGTTGTCTTTCAAGCTTGCTTTTCCTACAAGAATCATACAAATTTCCAATAAAGCTCTTGAACTTGTAATTGAGGACATCTTAGGACATTAACCTTGTTTTTCATCATTTAATCACACAATTTGATCCTAATTCCTGCTAAAAACCATGATGAACTAAGGGTTCATCACAATTCCCAGATTTGAATATTGCTGTCCTCAGCAATAACTTTAAAGACAGAGAAAGACTTGAGATTCTTTACACATGAAATTTATGAGGTTGGATTGAAATATGACAGATCAACTTTCCAAGATACAATCTAACAACCCAGCAATCTATCTTTTACTATGACTTGCTTAACCTCATTACAATGACTTTCAACAGATCAGTAAGATGAAATGCAGAGACCTTCAACACAAAACACCCCCTCACTTGGAACTTCTCAAAAATTGTGAGAATAAACTCTCTTGCACTCTAGTGTCTAAGGGTGTACTCATCACTCAATCTCCACTGCACTCAAACTACTATAAGCTTGCCCATCTTCTCACTTTCCATAGTTACAGTGATTCATAAGCAGAACAAAAGAGGCTTTGGTGGTATGACTTGACTAAGAATAGGATTCTGTATAGAAGAAGGAAAAATGGCTTGGCATGTAGTTGGCTAAAGGTAGGATTTGATGTTGCAGAAGGTTAGATAAATGGATCAGATTCAGATAAGAGGAGGATCACTATTGAATTTATCTATGTACTCCTTAATCCTTCTCATTCTCTTCTTCCTTTTCATTTGCTCTTTTCACCACCTTTTCTACAACTTTTCTTTTTCTTGAACTTCCTTCCTCCTTTTCTTCCAACTTTCAACACTTTGTGTTGTTTTGATTTCCCTTTTTCCTCATTTCCTTTTTCTTTTCCTTTTCCAAACCAAGCACTTTGTGCCTTTACTTCCTCATTTCCCTTTTTTTTTATTGCATTCTTCTTTTTCTCCAAATTTCCAACACTTAACACTTAATATTTTTGTTCATTGCAGAAACACCTTTCCTACAGAGCCTTCCTCCTTACCCCTTATCTGAACACATAATCTGAAAATTTAGGATCTGGAATAAGTGCAGGGCTCTTAGTTTTATCACAAAAATTTTGGCTTAAGGCTTCCATGCAATAAGAAAATTTGGTTCAAAAGAAAAATGCCTCAATGAGCTCTACTTTACAAACCATGAACTATTTCAAGTTAGAAACAGGGCAAGTTCTAGAGTTACTCATACAGTGAAGTGCTCTCTGAACAAAAAATTTTCTGTATAGGCTCAATGTCTCACAGTTCAGAGTGCATGCTTGAATTCCTCTATATACATCAACCTGATCTCTCTACTCCTCACATAACATGAGTCATGCAAACATATCATTTAGCACATATGCAGGGATTTCAAATTGCATCAAAAAATGTTTAATCCATCATGTAAAACTTTGATCATCCTATCCTCATAAAATTCACATCATCTCAACTCTAAATCCAACCTTTGTACATATAAAACACTTCCTAAACTACCTAAAACTATATTCACAAGAATTTTAAAAGAAAGGATTGAGATGTTTCCCTGTTTGTGGCTCATCAACTGTGTGTCATCATCAACTGTGTGATTCCACCATAATCATGTCATTCATTCACACCCCATTCCCAGATTTAAACGTTGCTGTCCCCAGCAACTAATTTAAATCTAAAAAGCAGTTGACAAATTCTGAAACACATTCACATATCAACAAATAGCATCAGTACTATTTAAAAGTGCATCATTCAAACAGAGAATCTCAATGTACTAACAAATATACAAAATGAAAATAATACCACAATCAACTAAAAATATCCAAAATAAAACCATAAAACAGAAAATGTATAAAAACAAAATGAGAAGTCTAGTCAGTAGACTCTTCATCATCACTAAACACCAAATATGAGCCTGGATCAGCAGTAGGCAAGGGGTTGTACTCAGGATCAACACCCCTGTCCTCATCCATAGCACCAGTATCAGCAGCAGCAGCAGCAGTGGTCTCTGTGGTAGTAGCATCAACACCAGGCTGTCTCTCTGGAGTGGGTGCAGCATGAGAAGATGTAGCACCATCAGTAGCGCAGCTCCATCCACATGATCAGCATAGTGAGTCCGGGCCATTGCCTCAAAGGCTTCCTCCTCATCAGAATGAGGGTATACAGCAGGCTGATAATCAATAACATCTAAGCCCTGAGCCTCACATATAGATTTCAACATCGTCACCATATATGTCTGAAATGAGTGCTGGCTGGACTGCATAAACCGGAGACGCCTGCGCAAATGTCTCATTCGGAAGTCAGTGTTCACCGTCCATTGCTCCCCTGACCTTAGCCTCTCTTCGAATTCATCATCACTCTGAGTTGTAGATTTCCTACCAGGAGTCAATCCTGTGACCTCCCCTCCTCCTATCTTCAATTGCTTTGTTATCATTGCGGCATCAATTGTAGGGTGCAATTTAGTTGGTGCCCCATTATCAGTAACATCTACACCAGCTTTCTGACAAAGCAACTGAATCAAGGAACAGTGACCCAAAGCAGCAGAGTCACTGTCAGAGTGAGCCATATCATAAATGCTGTCCTGAAGGAGAATAGGAAGTTCCACCTTCGCCCTTGTCATGATAGTGTGAATCAGGACAGCTCTCTTCAGGATAACCTCTGCCTGGTTGGAAGAGGGCATGACATTTGAGATTACAAAGTGAAACCAGACTCTAGCCTCACCATTTAAATGCCTCAACCAAATCAACTTAGGAGCAACCTTATCCTTGGTTAACTCCCAAGTTTCACCAGGTTTGGCTATAGTCTGCAAAATAGGCTCAGCTGCCCCCATCTTGGTCCAGGTGTCAAAGTTTGGGTCACTCCTCCTTGGTGGAATTTCAATATTCTGCCAGTTTCTCCTGAACTCACAACTGGCATTGTGGATATAGTCACAGAACCTTATCTTCAGCAGCTTTTGGATAGTGTGAGCATCATACTTCACTTTCTTTCCCCTCACCCAGCTAGTGAAGGTCCTCTGGCCTCCTTGATCTCCATTAAATGCATTAGCAAAGAATTCCCTTGCTATGAGTATTCTTCCAAAAGTTGCCCAATCCCTGGTCTTCAGCTGAGACTGAAACTGGGGATATTCATCCTGTTCTAGAACAAATTTTCTTTCTCTAACAAATGGCCTCTTGGAAGTCTTGTCAGTATACCGTTTTTCATGTTCCTCACTTTTCCAAAAGTGAGCATCAAACTGTGGGGTAAGCTCAGCTTCAGTATCTCCTCCTTGATTCACTCGTGCTCGCTTCTTATATCTCTTTCTTGTAGTGGGGAATTTTGATCAAA